GTTCCTTAACCCCATTAAGAATTTATATGCAAAAAATGATTGTTTAAACCCAGAATTGTTTTTTTTCACCATTACATTTCCTTTACTTTGGTTCTTTCAAAAAGCAAACAAGATAATGATAAAGGTAATAAACAAGATGATGATAAACAAGATAAGGTAATAAATAGGGATGCACTGATACCAATACTAGTATTGGTACCGATACCAAGTATTAGGGCAAGTTCTCGTACTCGCTCAAATGCTGCGCTACCTCCCCTGATACCGGAACTTCCGGTCAGAGGAAGATTACCTCTGACCGACAGTGCCATAGGGGAACATAGAGCCAACTTCCCGGGCAATCAGGAAGCCAGGTGGTGGGTAATGACCCACCTCCCGACTTCCTGATTGGCCGGGAAGCCGGCTCCATGCTGATGGACTGGGAAGTCGGCTTCCCGGCCAATCATCATTGAGCCGGCTCCATGCTGACTGGGAAGCTAATCAGGAAGCCAGCAGGCTGGTCATTACTCGCCACATGGTTTCCTGATGGGTCGGGAAGCCGGCTTGGTGCTGATTGGCTGGGAAGCCGTTTTCCCGGCCAATCACAATCGAGCCAGCAAAACAACATGACATTACCCACCGCCCATGTTTCTGATTGCCCGGGAAGCCGACTCCATGCCAGTAGAAGCACGGTATTGGCGAGTACCGAAAGCGAAATATCGGTACTCGTACTCGATACTGAAAAAAGCGATATTGGTGCATCCCAAGTAATAAAGATAAGATAAAGTAATAAGCAAGATAATGATGAAGATAAAGGTTTTGGTACAGAATCATTTTTTTTAATCAGACCAAAAAAGAGGTCAACTGAGGAGGAAAGAGGGACAGAGGAATTTGGTCATTAGGGACAGTCCCTCCACATGAGAGATGTATCAGGCAGTCAACTGAGCAGTTTTGCACACTGGAACTGCAGAGATAAATAATTCAACCTACCAGCACCAACCCATGACTGCAATATTAGTTGTGGGTGGACTAGCCTATAAAGAGAACCAGTCTTAATCCCATTGGCTTGTAGAGTATACAGTACTGTACCCACTGCAGCTGCTGCCAAGTCAATCTTCAAGCAGCCTCTGGCTAGGAGAGTAGACCTCATGCCTATAACCAGATGAATAGGCTTTATTCTGCATAGATGTGGCTTTGGCTTTATAGTCCCTGTCCCTGGTGACCAGAAAAATCTATTGGGCTACACCTGAGTGTGCGCCATTTTTCAGGTTCATGAGAATCTTACTACTTCTCTTCACAGGATCAGTTCATCTAAAACGTATATTTTACTTTTTGGTAGATGCCATAGAGTTAAACCATGTAACAATTTCTTATATATATTAGTGAGATGTCCATGCTGTGTTCCTGGGCCTGAGCACCTGCTGTGGGCATCGTGAGGGGCTCCCATTGTGTTTGCTGTATTTATATCTATATTATGGGGAATGTAACAGGAGAAACTGCAACATACAAAGGTGGTTGGGTTTACCCAAAACTCCCAGGTGGACAGGGACCAGTGGCGCCACAAGGGGGTGCGGTGGGGTGTGGCCCGCCTTGTGACGGCACCATTACATAGTTACATAGTATTTGAGGTTGAATAAAGACATTAGTCCACCATTGGAGGGGTGACACCAAAATGACTCACTGGAGGATGGGACGTTCACCTGAAGATGGCCGCCGGCTGGTATCAGTAAGATGGCCAGGCAATGCGCGTTGACGTCATTGCAGGGTGTCACCCGGTACCCACTCTGGGTGACACCCGGACGCCCTTGACAGAGACACTCAGCAACTTTGACCGGGACCCGTTGCTGTTGGAGTATCTAAGACAGAGACACGTAAACTAGGCACTCCAGCTGTGGTGAAACAATAAATCCCATCATGCTTCTGCCCCTAGACATCATGCCTGTGACTGTCAGAGTCTTACAATGCCTCATGGGACATGTAGTTTCACCACAGCTGGAGAGCCAAAGGTACCCACCCTTGATCTAAGACATAAAAGAAGCCAAGGTCTGAGTCATCCCACTAGGTACCACTTATAGCTAAATCATTACTTTTGGCCTGACTGACTCTTTAGAAGGACGTTCCTATGTTAATTTCCTCCTCTTGATACACCTGGAAACCTGTGTAACCATCTGTTTCCTTTCTAGGAGTAATATGCGGTAACATCTGCTCTTCACAACCCTACCAGCGAGGGTTCCAGTCTCCTCTCCGGCCAGCGGTGGATGGTAAATTGTGAAGACGGCTTCTGGCAGAGGTTCCTCACAAAGACATCTGGAGAGAGAAACTCAAACACAGAGACGCTGGAAAGGCAAACAGTGCTGCTCGGTTGTGTGCAGTTTATCTCTCTGTACCTCCTCTGTCAGGCCAGGATATCTTCGCGTCACTTCATCGGGTTGATGTTCTGCTGTCTTGCCAAAGATTTAGTGAAGCTTTGTGTCAATTTATGGTCTTAATTTGCTCTTCTGAGAAAGCCAAGCCTTATGTAAGACTGATCCCCAGAATATCATATTTATTGCATCCTGACACAACAGCCGATTTCTCCAGAACACAGCTCTGCTTACCAGCGAAAAGGACCTCGAATAAACCTGCTTCTGCCGCTAGGAGAAAAGCAGATGTCTCCATAAGCATTTGGAAACATATGGGGAAGCCGCATGCTGCTTTCAAGCTGTCTCTGGATTTGTGATTCAGCTATCATTGGGTCTTGAATACTAATGCCTTAACTTAGAGGTTACAACAACCTTCCACAAAAGTACTGTGAAACACGAGAGGCCTGGGTGGCTATGGGCCCATTGTATGTATACGTATGAAAATAAAGAGAGAAAGCGTCATGCAGCTCACCAATTTATAATAAGAGGAAATGAGCTCTTGGAGGGGTAGCTCATTGCAAGTGCATAAAACAGACTCTGCAGAATGCACATCTTTTTTCCTACAAAGGGATTGAGTTATATTGGACCTAGCATCAGATAAATCAGTGCAGGCATGCTATGTAATGTGTACAAGTAACACAGGTATTTTTACTTCTAACAGAGATCACAGAACCCCATACACCAGGGTTGGGCAATTCATTTTCTCGAGGGGGCACATGAGAAACTGGGGTGGCTGCAGAGGGACGAATCGATACTGCGCAATGCGCTGACCATGCGTTACAGTGCAGCAGGTGCACTGGACCTGTTAGGACCGCCCAGTGGTCCTAGCAACCAATGACTGCAGAGGAGGAAGACCTCTGGCATCATCGGTTGCTAGGACCGCCCATCGGTCCTAGCAACCAATGACTACAGTGGAGGAGGACTCCTAATGTAATGGGTTGCTAGAATGCCACTGTCAGCCAGCCATAGACAAGTGCAGCTCAGAGATCGGTCCAAGTCCAGACCACTGCTTCCTCCTGCCTGCAGCAGACTGATGACATCATCTCAGCCTAGGCAAAGTCTCATCATTGAGATGTCATCATGGCATAATTTCAGCCAGGGCAAAGTCACATCAATGAGACGCCATCATGGGATAATTTCAGCCTGGGCAAAGTCACATCATTGAGATGTCATCATGACATCATCTCAGCCTAGGCAAAGTCACATCATTGAGATGTCATCGTAACATCATCTCAGCCTAGGCAAAGTAACATCATTGAGATGTCATTATGGCATCATCTCAGCCTAGGCAAAGTCACATCATTGAGATGTCATCATGACATCATATCAGCCTAGGCAAATTCACATCATTGAGATGTCATCATGACATCATCTCAGCCTAGGCAAAGTCACATCATTGAGCTGTCATCATGACATCATCTCAGACTAGGCAAAGTCACATCATTGAGATGTCATTGTGACATCATCTCAGCCTAGGCAAAGTCACCAGAGTGGAGCTCAAAGACAGACTTCAAAAATAACTGAGAGGTCCACTTTAAAACCTGCTTCTAGGTTCCGTCTCAGGTGCATTAGTTCCATGTTTGCACAAACACACATAACTGAGATCTCTGATTTTTAAAGATGTTCCAAGCGGGTTGTAAATACATCCTCTGTACCAGTAAGCAGTACTGGGTGCCGGGGAGTATGTTTTATGCACATGGGGTGAACTGACCCTCACACATAAATTGCCATGTCCTCCCTCTGATACAGCAGCCTGTCCTATGCTAGAATATGTAGCCTGATTTCTACTGTCCTCTGTTCCTAAAAATGCTGCTTGCCTGACTATCACCATGATCCTGGTGGATAAAATCCATTCGTTGTCTTATTCATTATATGCAGATCAGGACTCTTACTTTGTGTCTCAAATGATTGAAATCAGAGACAGTCAGGCAACCAGCATGTTCAGAAAGAGGTCAGCAAAAGCAGGAAAGGAAATCTGAGAGATATACAGAGGTCACCATAGCATATTTGTAGCTTGCTATGCTATAGGCGGCTATATGATCACCTTTTGGATCTGCTGCTTGCCTGGGTGTCTCCTGTGTCAATTCCCTCCGAGCCACTGACCTTTAAAAAAACACGCAGATCAGGAAAGTCAGGGTGAAATCTGAACTAATCTGCATACTTTTTCCGGGAAAGTGACTGAGAAAGTACTGAAGCCATTGGATCAGCATGACAGCCAATGAACAAGTATTTTCAAAAGGTGGGGTCAGCAATGGTCAGCCTCTATATTTCCTCTCTACAGGTTTCCTTTAACACTACATACCCAGCCTATGTCTGATATGTCAATTTTCCGTGCATCAGTATGACAGAGCACCATGTGACCATATGACCATGTGACCATGTGCTTAGACTGCTCTGTTGCTGCATTGAGAATGAGCTACGTGTCTACAATGAGCCACACGCAGCCAGAACTAATAACCTATGCCAGTCTAAGGTGCGATGGCTTGAAGCGGAACTCCAGGGTAGGTGATTATTGTCTAAATACAAGAGGCATGTGGATTCTTACTTGAATCTTGGAGGTCTATTTATGAACGATTCAAAGAGCAATTCTCCGTGTGAATCTCCGTGAACACCCGACTAGAGGCAAAAATTACCGTATTTAGTATATTTTCAGGTCGAATGTAATGTAATGCTTCATTATGGCCACTAGATGGAGCTACTTATTTTCTATGCTCCTCAGCTCCATCTGGTGGCCATAATGAAGCATTACATTACAATACATTTCTTTTTGGCCATAATATTGTATTTTCTGCAAGTTACATTCGACCTAAAAACAAAAATATTAAGAACCTGTACTCTATTTTCTTTTCAGGCTGAATGTAACATTCAGAAAATAACACATTATGGCCACTAGATGTTGCTGAGGAGTGTAGGAAATATGTATTTACGTCCCATGTTCCTCAACTCCATCTAGTGGCCATAATGTGGTTTCTGTGAATGTTACATCCGACCTGCAAAAATATATACAAAGAGAGTTCGTTTTTTTGCTCTATTCGCACAGAATGAACATTCACAGAGATCCGCAGGGTGCATGGCTCTGGGGGCTGTTTATAAATAGACCCCTTTGGTGTGCTATGTGTATTTCTTACAGATCTGCGCAGTAATCCGGTGTGAAGCTTTGCCTCTGAGCAGAAGCTCCTTGCAATACAGACTTAAAGGAGAACTATGAGGCGAGTGATTTTCCCTCAGCCTCATAGTTCGAGCCGACGTGTGACAATTAAACTGTCACACGTCAGCTCAATAGATCGGGAAGTGAGCGAACACATACCGCCGCTTCTCGATCATCTCCCTGTAGAGAGCCGTGACTGTCCCTGGAGGGATCCCCCAAGCCCCGCCCCTCCCCGCTCCGATCCTCTAGCACTGACTGGAGGAACGGACAGGGGAGGGGGCGGGTACAGCTGGCTCTGCCTCTAGATAGGCAGAGCCAGCTGTCACTCACGCAGCTGGGCGGATCTCGACAGTAATGTCGGGATCCGTCCCGGCTGCGGCAGTCTCAGTATGGCTCACAATATATTGAGTTTTGGGTCACGGGAGGACGCTTGTTTATGTCCTCCCGTGACTCTTAGGAGAACTATGGGGAAAAACACTTACCCCATAGTTCTCCTTTAAGTGTAATATTGACTTCCTGTAAAACATTGATGCTTTCTCTCCTTGTGCAGGGTCTTGTATCCCACCCCATGTAGTGGGTGGGGCCTGCTGGGTCCCTCCCGCAACTCTTCTCTCTGCACAGGCTAGGTAACCCTTACCTTTGCAAGGCAATATCTAGTTTTGCAATGGCATTTGGTGCACACAAAGTCGATTTAATCACTTGTGGCTCCTGAGGAATATACTGTAATGAAAGTTTTTGTCCTGGGAGTTCAGCTTTAAGCTGTAGCTTAGCTTGTTAAGGAAAAGCATGCTATATCAATGCTAAGCACTCACATGTATGTACCCTAAGCTCCATTCTATGGCCTTCTCCATGGGACATGCCATTCAGACACATTACCCTTGGCCTCGCACCCAGCACATGGGCTGGTCCTCGCCTCCCACAAGATCTGAACGTTTCACTCCTAAATGATCTGTGCCTCTGTGAACACTGTTACAACCTGTTTGTATACGGACTGTTCTGCCCAATCCTTCAACGCTGAGATGGGACAGAATTAAAAAAAAAAAAAAGGACAAAAATCCTCAAGGTCAAGCCGAAAACTTGGTGGATGTGACTGACAGTTAACATTGCCTCTTGTGAACCGTGCAAGCTGCACAGAAATTCTGTGTCATATTTTTATTTTGGGAAACCCGGTGCCATTCGCTCGTGTTGCCATCTGCTCATTGTAAGCCGAAAGTGGATTCTAAAAGGGGCCACGCAGCCAAGTTACAGGAATGTTAAATATCTCACGCTGAATCCAGGCGTCGGTGTGTTCAAAGTAAAACATCAGTTTTGTTATAAAAAAAAAAAAAGCACTTCCCTTTAGGTCATCTTTGGACGATGTATGCATTTTGGTAAACACAGTTAGAGTTCTTACCTGCTTCTGTTCTGGAGATATTTAGGGCTCATATACACAGCTGTGGCCTGTGGCCATACAACATAAATTCTGGCATATGTTTTCCCTGCTAGGGAGGCACAGATGCTGCGTACAGCCTCCCATAGAAGTCAAGGGCTATACACCGGGCTTACATAAAATGCACTTATTCATGTGGAAGCACAACTCCGTCTGCACCTGTGGCTCACTGGCGGGGAAATACACCAGAATTTACATTGTATGGCCACGGGCGGCCGTTTGCATGAGCCCTTAAAGAAGAACTCCAGGAAAATTACAAATTTACCCTTGCAGTGGGGCTACACCAGCACTGCAAGGGTTACATGCTCCTTTTGTCTAGAGGGCTTAAATATATATATATATATTATTAAAAAATGTTTTAACAAATCTGGAGTTTCCCTTTAAATACATATCTTGGAATGTTAGAAGCAGATCTTTCACCAGTCATTTGTATGTTGCGTACAGATCCATTTTTACAAATCTTATAAAAGAACGACATTGACACGACCGAAACCATTACAAGTATTATTGTGTTGTTATAACGTGACACATGCTACGGGGCAAAAAATAAAATGAACCGTTTATGTTTTAGTTTCCTATTCAGTTATTTGTGTTTGCTTATATAAGGTAGTTTTATTGGTTT